AAAAATCTGTTTAGGTTAAAATAATAAGAATGGCTGTGTAAAAAAATTAAATGACGTGATTTCGTGAAACGGTGAGACACGGGTACGTTTTTTTAACCTTTATTTTTAAATTTTTGTAGTGATGCAACGAATACTTTTACAAATACCAATACGAATACGAATATCAAAACAACTATTCGGCTGATAAGAATACGAATAACTCGGCATATTAATAAAAAACTCATATATTTAATCGTTTTCTATTTATTTTATTCTAGTAATTAAAATTTACAAGTGACAAATTTTTGTTGAGAAAACGCAACACCTAAAGGCTCGCTGGCGACAGGCAATTTATTTTTTCAATCTGGATATTCCCAGCAGTTAAAAAAAGCCTTTCCGAGGCGGCTGTAGACGGTTTTAATAAAAAATATTTTTAGCGAGTTTTCTTTAGCCTTGGGACATGTATATCGTCTCCCCAGACACGTTGGTAAATTGCGTATGTAGCCGTTGTGAAGATATACACTTAAATGTATTTTTTTATAAATTAATTTGCAACATTAAGCTTAGTCTCTGTGTATCGCCTCTTTTATTGAGGTTTTTTGGACATTTTCCTATTTCAATGCTAGCCAATACCCTTGTTTTTTCAAAGTCAATTTCCCAATATCGCCAGCAATAGCCAAATTATTCATGGAAGACATAGAAGTACGAGCAATCGAAACGGCAACACTAATATGAAAGTTATGTTACGGTACGTAAAAGACACATTTGTCATCTGGACCCACGGAGAAGAGAAACTGAAGAAATTCCTGGACCAGAATTCCCAAAAAGATTAAGTTCACAATGGAAACCGAGAAAGAACACCAATTACCTTTTCTGGATGTCTTCATAATCAAGATAAATAATGGCACACGCCCAGTCTCACCACCACCCGTCACAACTGCAGTCAATCATTAAGACACTTGTCACGTGAAAGGCTGGCGGATGGTGACCACAAGAAACAAGAAGACCTGAAATTCCAAACGACGCTACAGCAAAACGGATTCTCCAAACCCATCATCAAAAAGGCTCTTAGACCACGACGCCGGTTAAATACCACAGAGGACGAGAACAACAAACCAACTTGTGTTTAATTTACTTAGTGAACTGATATTTTTAGTAGGCCTTTACTACCTCAGATATTCTAAAACATATAGGTTATTAATATCACGGGGTAACACCATCGGGGACATTTCATGAGATTCATCCATTTATTACACACGGACTGTGTGACACGGTGGTAAAAATATTTTTTTTAATATTCGCCGAATACGAATATTCTGTAAGTGTCTACTATTCGACAAATACGTTAATTCGTATTCGTTGCATTACTAATTTTTAGTGATAGTTTTTTGTTTTTAGGAATATGTACTTTAAAAATTTGGAATAATATAATTTTTTATTAATTTTATTTGAGAATAAAAATTTATTAGTTTTAAGTTAAACATTCTAGATATTTTTTTTTTTCAAAAATACTTTTGAGTATTTATTGGAAGCGTTTTTTATTTAATTATTATTAATTATTAACTAAGGATATCTATGATTCTATTGATAAGAGTGTTCCAGCTATTTGCATATTTTTGGATTTAGCTAAGGCACTCCACACGTTAAAATAGGAACCACTTTAAGTACACAAATGTCTTCCTTATAAGATGTACTCAATGTCTTCCTTATAAGATGTACTCAATATTGTACCTTAAGGTACAATATTAGGCCCTATACTATTTCTTATTTATATAAACAACTTGTTTAGATTTTTAACAGAGGCAAAATGGTGGATAGGTTTTTAAATAGCAAATTAATGAACTTAAACTTTTGAATTATAAAACAGCAATACTCTTATCTGCATATAAATTCTAACTGACCTTCAGGAATCACATGCATCTATAATGTCGTAAACAGAGATTTTTGCTTATTTAAAATGATTAAAGCGCCATCCGTTGCATAAAATTTAAGGAAAAACAGATTCTCGGAGGGTAGAATCAATTTTTGTAACACCTACATAAATGGTTATAAAAATTATTTCTTTTAATTTTTAATAATATTTTATATTTGATTCGATTGCTTTGGATGTGTTTAATTTACTTAGCGAACTGATATTTTTAGTATGCTTTTACTACCTCAGATATTTGAAAACATATAGGTTAACCTAGAAAGAGTAACAGTCACGGAGGATAGGTTTTAGACTTTTAAAACATTGTAAAAAATAATTAATTGTGGTTAAAAATCTGAAACCTGAGCTGTAATATCTACTTTATTATGAAAGATCAAAACACAATAAAAGTGTAGGTCAAACTCATTTAGTTTTATAAAATATCACGGGGTAACACCATCGGGGAACATTTCGTGAGATTTACCCACCTACGTTTATTAGTTGTACATAATTAGGTAATGGAAAATACTGAGCTTTGCTGACGATACCACAGTTTTCTATAAAGATAACATAACAATGAATGGTTTGATCATAACATGCTGACAATAAATATGGAAAAAACAAATTTCATGGTCTGGCTCCTACTCCAAAAGCTTACCACATTTCAAATCTCTAACTATTAAAAAGTCCAAGGTTAACTTTGTATTGGATTTGACTGAATTAGCCAAACTCTTGGGCATTACTCTAGATCTACACTTGAGATGGGATCTACAAGTGCAACAAGTTACAAAAAAGATCAGATGCATCATTCCCTTTTTTAAATTTCCAAAACCAATCCTGTCAATTCCTTAACTAAATATTATTTATGATGCACTTGTGGAATCGCACATAAGATACTGCATCTTAGGTTGGGGTGGTGTACTATATAACCATCTAAAGGATCTGGAAATAACTCAAAAAAGAATTTTTAAAATTATTCATAACGTTAAAATAACTTACCCTACAAATGAACTCATATCTGGTAAAATGGACTGTAGACAACTTTTTCATCTTAATCTTAATTTATACACACGCTACAAAACAGTAACTCTAAAATCAGTTTATAAAAGACATTAAAATGGCTTACCAGTTCCAAAATTGAATAAAACCATTGGGCAGAGAAGTTTAACTTATCTAGGTCCAAAGATATATAATGAACTACTTAAAAATATAAAAAATATTTACTCCCTAAATCTAAAAAAAATGATGTTTATTGCAGGCAATGAATAACCTAGCAACTCAAATGTTCATTTAGCTATAGTGGTATTAATATCTCATGGCGGGTGACCTTGGGCGCGCAAACGTCACAAATCCGTCAAATCGCGCTAGTACTCGCCGTCCTAAAAACATACTACCCCAGGGTTGGCAATGCTAGCATCAGCTGATATTTATTGACATTTAAACATATTTATAGGCTAGAAATTCTATTATATTTGTTATATCATATTTGTCATATCATATTTGTTATAATATTATATCAAATTTTGTTATAATATTATATTTGTTATATTTGTTCTATTATTATAATTTTTATAATATTATATTAAATTTTGTTATAATATTATATTTCTTATACGAAATGAATAACGGCAAAAAAGAAGTCATTAATTCGGATTATACACAGATTCTATTCTTTTTTTTTACTGAAATCCATTATATATTTTACAGATCATTGCTCAACAATTGAAGACCTTGCTGCAAAAAGGGGGTAACTTTTACAAAAGTGACTTTTACACCCTTACAACTTTGAACTAGACTATTCTGCATTGTTTAATGCAAAGATGACTCAAAAATAACTTTTATGGAGTTACCTCCTTTTTGCAGCAGGGTCTTCAATTGCAGTCATTATCTAATGTTACAATATATTTCATAAAATAAAGAAAAAAACGCTTTACTATATTAGTTAACAGATGACAGATTTGGGAAGCATCCATAGACATTTAAGTTAACTTAAAGGTCTATGGAAGTGGCGGATGTTTTTAGTTTCCATTTATTTATTAAATTGAATGGCGTCTGTCAGCGTCTCTCAAGGTCACCCGCCATGAGATATTAATACCACTATACGCGTCTAAAGCAGTTGTGTAATGATAAGCACTACCGGAGAATTAAAGACTAGTCGTTATGAGTTAACGACTTTAAAAGTTAGTGAATAGCAATTTTGCATTTAGCAATTGACCTTTAAGTTAACCACTGATTCTAGTGGCTAACTTTGTCTATCTTACGGATGCCAGATTGTCTATCAGACAGATGTCACCAGGGCATTAGTTAATGCTTTTCCATTAGAAATAATTTTTATTATTAGTTATTATTATTATAATTCAGGGTTCTAAACCCTAGCAGGTTAATGTGAGCAATAATATAAGGTATACCTATTAGGGTGATTCATTTCCGCAAAGTTTTTTTTTTTTCGGTGCTCAAGCAAAATATTAATCTACCTATAGAAAAAAAAATTTCCACCAAGGTAGAGCTCTTAATATCAATTTTAAGTACTTGCAGTTTAAATTTAAAGTTTTCCCATTTAAAATGCATGCATGTAAAAAAAATGTTTTTTTTTTTTCAAATTTCTAATGCTCGCCCGCTTTTTACAATATTGTGAATCGGTTTTATGGACCTTATAGGGAATTTCACGCTCTTCAAAATTGTCTTTGTGTTTTTTTATGTAACTCGTAGTGGTTCGCCAGTAGGAGTCATCAAAGTTCAATTTTTTGAATAAACATTTTTTTTTGCAATTTTTTTTAACAATTCGCAAAAAATAGTGAAAAAATAAAGAGCTGAATCGTAAAAAATAGTCTTTTAACAAAAACTTTAAATTTAAACTGCAAGTACTTAAAATTGATATTAAGATCTCCACCTTGGTGAATTTTTTTTTTCTATAGGTAGATTAATATTTTGCTTGAGCGCCTAGAAAAAAAAAAGTTTTTTGCGGAAATGAATCACCCTAATACCTATATGATATAGATATAGATACCATATATGATATTTTTACTTAATTATTTTAACTGGACTCGTATTTAAGTTTAATTTTATTTTTTTCCGCACTAAAAGATGGTAAATAATTTATTTTTTGTTTTAGGGTGATTTGGTTCAGATGAAACCAGTCCCCAGTGTTGGAACAACTGGTTGCGAATTAAGAGCGAAGGCTGTCGAACTTTTGGTCCTTCTTCACGGACTACGGCACGAAAATCTAAATCCCTTAATAGGATGTCTAGCGGAACCGCCCAGGGCCGCCTTGGTATCTGAATACTGCACTCGAGGATCTTTGCAGGATGTGCTCCAACAGGACGATATCAAGCTGGACTGGTCGTTCAGATTAAGCCTGTTGACTGACTTAGTGAGGGTAAGAACAAAATGATGTACTTATGTTTATTAAAGTTTTCTTTAGCTTCTTGTTGTACTATGCTCCACACCCCCAAGTCCCACCACGTGACCACGTACGGAACGCAGTCTTTTGAAAATTTGGCATTCAAGGCTTTTCAGGTTATGTATCTGTCAAAGTATAGTCAACGAAAGAAATAATATTATGTTTAGGCGTTAAAAATGTATAAATCTTTATAACATTACAATAGCAATGGATGGTTTAAGAATTTAGGAATATAAATACTGCATTTAATGAAATTCTAAAGTGTATGGTGCCAAATAAATAATATTTTTGTGCATTTGGTCCAAATAGCTGGTTTTCTCCATAAAATAATTTTAACTAAACAGCATTTATTTAAAAAATCTAGCTTCTCTATTATGGAATAAGAATATCTGTATTAAAGGTAGGTTAATATATTATAACAAAAATATCATCTAATTTTGTAATTTTAAGGTTAGAAAAATTTATTTTGACCAAAATAAATAAGTATTTTAGATTATTTAAAAGACTATTTAAAAATGTGGTAGTTTTTCTTATCCAGCTTAAAGTGTAGCTACATAAAGTTTTGTCACTACAAATAGTTAAAAAGCTTCCACTGAATTTAATCTACATCAAAAATCATTATAACTTTTAAAAATTTTAATAAATCACATGTCATGGGAGTATTAAATATTTTCACATTGCAAGTTTCTCTAAAAATTGTTTGTTTTCTTATAATCTAACTTAAAGTAAGTATGCCGAGAGGTATACACAAGTTTTGTCGTTAGAAGTATAAAAGCTCAATTTAATTTGAACTATATTCAACAATTATTTAGTATACCTATATTTATTTATGACCATATTAACACACTCTTTCAAATAATCCACTTATTTATTTTGGTCAAAATAGATTTTTCTAACCATAAAATACAAAATTAGATGTTATTTTTTGTTCTAATACATTAACCTACCTTTGATACAGATATTCTTATTTCATAATAGAGAAGTTTTTTTAATAAATGCTGTTTAGTTAAAACAATTTTATTGAGAAATGTAGACCCAATGCACAAAAATATCACTTATATTGCACCTTACACTTTGGAATTTCATTAAATGCAGTATTTATATTACTAAATTCTTAAACCAACCATTGTTATTGTGATACTATAAAGATTTATTAATTTTTAACGCTTAAACATAAGCGGTAACACTATAAATATTGTTTCTTTCATTGACTATACTTTGACAGATAGATAACCTGAAAAGCCTTAAATGCCAAATTTTCAAAAGACTGCGTTCCGTACGTGGTCACGTGGTGGGACTTTGAGGTGGGGAGCATAGTACGTAATTAGGTAGTGCCGATAATAAGAAGGTTTACCTCATCAATATAAATCAAAATAAGGTACTAATTAAACAATAAATGCTGTTTTTAAAACGATTTATTAAGTAACAATGAACATTTAAACAAATAAAAGTTTTGATCGGTTTTTGTACAGTTAAACATGATGTAAACTATATTCGCAGACAGCCTTCAATAAATGTTTTTCATATTCTGGACTTGAAAAGATTCCATGGCCTGTTCACTAAAGAAACCCATACCTTTTTGGTTCCTTGTACATAAATCTTTAACATGAAAAACACTGATCTTTCTTAAATCTGGTTTAAGCTTAGTAGTAAAGCAAGCTTTGGAGAAAAAATTGTCAAGATCTCTACATATTTGTAGCATTCCGGGTTAAAGATTTCAGAAGAACTTTAAATTTGTTTAATAATATTTTACAAGTTTTAAACGTATTTGAACTCTTGTAGCATGTGATTAAATACGGTATTAACTATTCCAAGATAAGATTCAGGTGGGGGAATCACATCTTAAAGTGACTTATTTGTGCCAGTTTCAAACAGTGAAGGATTAACACAATTGAAAAACTTTTTAGCTGTAGCTTTATCGGCTTCCGCATCTTTCCAATCTACATATATAGTAGACTGTTTAAAAAAAATACGACTATGTTATTTTCCAATGGGAAAATTATGTCTTAAGAATTACTAAAAAAAGGGATTTTCAATAAGAATATCCAAACTAGTGTCTGACCAAAATACCATTTTCAGCCGAAACTGAGAAATTTATACAAAAATTGAAATAGTAGATATCGATATGCATATTTTAATTTTCGTATACATTTCTTTAAAAACCTATTCCAATATTTGGCAACCTTATTTTATAAATTTAATAAACCGGTAATAAAAACGTAGTGGCTGTGAAATCATTGTAAAATAAATTTAAACTAAAAATCCTATTTATAAACCTTATCCAAATAAAGTTAACTGCATAATACAGGGCAATAAACTTTATAGACTTTTTATCGTTCTAGCATAAGTGAAACTTTAAAAATAAAGTTGTACGTTATAGTATAAAATTTTAATAGCGCAAACTTATGAATAATTCGGTTTGTTCGCATCGCCATGTAAAGGTATTTATAAAAGTTTAAAATTTAGGTACTTGTTTAAGATGATAAAAAATAATTTTGGTAAACCTGCTTAAATTGGATGGAAGGAAATTTTAATACACTTAAGCCGTTAATTTTATTTTAGCAAACATATTTTTTTTTGTAATTAATTTTGGAATGTATTTTGTATTTTAGAACATAAATGATTTGTAGGAAATAAACAATAAAATTTAACCAAAAAAAAATAATGTGGTAATATGTCTAGATCGGAAAATTAATATTTTTTTATTTTTAAAGTACAATTTTTTGTTTGTTTAAGGGTATGAAATATCTACACTCAACACCAATCAGGGTACATGGTTTCTTAACCTCGAAAAATTGCGTGATAGATGCTCGATGGGTGCTCAAGGTCACTGATTATGGCCTTCCAGCTTTTTATGAAACACAGGGTATACAACCACCGAACAAAACTGCAAGAGGTAAGTTAAACTGTTTTGTTTAAACATTACGCTTTTCATATAATATAAAATAATAGAATCAAATCAAATCATTCATAAAAATTAATAGCTCAAAACCTATTAAGTTAGGTATTTAAGAAATGTTGGAAAAAACTTAAAAATGTAAAAAAACTGGTGATGATCCATTTAAAATAACAAAGTTGATATCGCTTCCGTTAAAACAGAAAGAGAAATTTTTTTCAAAATAATAGTTTAAATATACTTAAAAGTGTCTGCAACTTTTTACTTCTATTATATATAGAACTTCCATTATGTATACAAGTTCTATATTAGGCAGTCTAATGGGACTGTAAAGATAAATTATGCAGGTTTTTAGTCTCATAATATACTACCACAACAATTAAATAATTAACAGCTAATTACTGAACTTAATTAATAATGAACTAACTGAATGTACTTTGACGTTAATACTGGAAATGTTCTCCAACAATTACGTATTTCAACTCAAACGCTTTTAAATTGAATGGTGTGCACTAAGAAAATCATTAAATTCAGAACACAGTCATTAGTAAATTCAACATTAATGTTTACTCGCTTCAGAACACAGTCCTTTGGTATTTTAAATTTTTCGACGCATTTTATGTTATATCTTGTTAATAATGAATGATGTCCGATTAATAGTTGAAGATTTTATTTTTTTGTTTTTTACTAACTTCTAAAGTAGTAGTGTTTTTTTAATTTGTATATTAAAATCTTCAGTGATTTTGCATACTAAAACAGTCTATAATAGAGATTTATCAATTTATGGAAATATTGTCCAAGCTTTTTATAATTCATAATTGTGATGTAATTATTGTTTGTAAAAATTTTGGCAAAAATATATATTTTCTTGTCTGTAAACCGACAAACGATGACGGTTAATTCTGTTTCTGATTTTTTATACCCAAAATAGATTTTAAGAAATGTATTCTTCTATTATTTTACAAGGGCCACTTTATTTTAAAGATTGTATGACAATAGACAAATGTCAACTAAAACATACAATAACAATTAACAAAACAATTGAAAAAAAACATTTTTATTTTATTTATATTTATAGATTTTAAACAATTAAATTAAAAAGAGATACGATCTATGTTTGCATTTTTTAAGACATTTTTTGCAGTAACCAATGAACAATTAGCTTTTTTAAAAGACAGTTTTGTAAGTTTAACTTCGAAAAAACATTAAAATAGTCTAATTTATTTTATATGTCAATCGATTTATTCTGATTATAATCTTAAAATAAAATTTGAACTCGTAATCTTACAACACGCTATAGAAGTAAGACTTGTCATATTTAAAATCATTTCAGGAATTTCGTAAACTAATATTAACTAAATAAAAATTCTTTTAAAAATTTCACCCTCTATAAAAAGTATTGAGATAAAAATGTTCTTTAATCTAATCGATTACGAGATATTTGCCTACAAACATCTAGTCATCTTGAAATTTGTAATTTTTATGTATTTATATATTCTGATCTTACACAGAGAAAAAGCTGTCATATTGTGAATGGTATAAACATTGATCAAATGGTGTACTGTATTTGCAATACCTGAATTACAGCTATGATCAAATAAATGATTGTCTTACATTTATTTGTGCAAAACTGCTTAAAATTAGTTCAAACATAAGAAGGCATTGAATTAATTCCGCATTAAAACTTAGTTAGTTGAAACATAAGAAATTATTGAATTAAATTGTTATTTAATTGAAGCCACAATGAATCTTAATGAAAAACTATCATTGGTATAAATAAAGTTATGGTTTCTAATGAATGGCTACATTAAATGCAATCAAAGCTCTATTTCCTTTAAATTTGTATATTCTTGTGCAAATATTAATTGTATAATACATTAATATGAACTTTAAATAAAATGAATTCTGAAACCTGCCTCTGGTAGTCTTGTGTACAAAGGTTTTTCGATCCATAAAATAAAATTGTTCTCTTTTCTGTAGGAACTATTAGAAACCCACTAAAAGTGTTGGTGATATTAGGCTCTAAGAAAGTTGCTGACCCATCACTAGCAACAGTTACTGTACTGGATGTGCAGGATCTGTCTGCCATGGCACATGGTTATTATAAAACGAAATAGGAAGTTCATCTTATGTATTTAGAGGCGAATCCTAAATATTGCTGAACGTCCTAAAGCAATATATACTTTTATCTCCACGCGGTCTATAATTTAAACTTTATTATTGTCAACATTCGATAAAGAAATACCTTGTTATGGCTTAGGCCGATAACAATTTTTATGAGGCAAAGAATTAGTTCGATTTTTTCTCGCTAGTATGTATGGTATTGTTTTGAAAAATTAATCCTTTTCTAAGAAATTGGTTTAATTTATTTACAATAAGCACTAATTTGTCTGTTTTACTGTTATTGTTTAATATTTTTCATTAAATTATTGTAAAATTAAATATGAATAATAAAACAAAAAGTGAGGTTAGGCAACCAAGAAAACGAACGATTCTTTGTCTAGATTTAAATTATCTTTAAGTTTTAACTTGCTTTAAGTTTTCAGTGAAATTAAATGTTAAACACAGCTTAAACATTCCAAACTACCTATTTTTTAAATAAAAATCCAAACAAATTGAAATTAGATACCTACCTATTTATTAAACAATTAATTTAATTCAATTTAATAGCAAAAATCCATTTCTACTTGAATCATGTAGCTAGATATTGTCAAACTATTACTGCTTCTAAAAGCAATAATAATTATTGTCCATTTAATGTAATCTTTAGCTAATAAATAAATGAGATTCTAAAAAAGTGAGGTTAGGCCGCTTTGATGTTGAATTAAATTGACCCATATAAAGTGCTTTGAAGATAAAATGTTGTATGCCATTCGGCCAAGAAGTGACTTTTTGTGCTTCGCTCAATTGAGCTTAATCTAATGACATAAATAACTATCAGGATGCCCTGCAAGGATATCATGATGGTACTGAAAGGCTATGAGAAGTTTTATATAAATAAATAAAAACTTCTTCCATTTTAAGGCATAACAACGAATATTAAGATAAACTGTGTCCATGGTATATACCGTTTAGATGTAATTGAGTCATTAAATTACATGGCGGACAAAAAAATGTACAACTTACCTTGAAAATTCGGGATTAGTACAACCCCCAAGAAATTAGCAAATATAACAAACAACCAAACACGACCTACACCAGAAATAACCCATACACTTACATCAATCGGCGTCACCAGAAATACCGATTAATCAGTTGATCACATTTAACTATAGGCACGTACGCGATTGCAGGTTGCCGATGTGTGGTGTGGCAGGGGATGTCTTGGCGCGTTTATCTGAATTTTAGCCATAATTAAATTGAATATAGGCCGCATTGAAAAAATGGGAATGATAATTGGGCAAATAACAAGAATTTTTCAAGACATTGAAAACATTGGTTTTCATTGGAATAAATATCATAACACAAAAAAAAACAAAAAGAATAGTTATTTCATTTGTTTTTAATTTTTGGTTGAAGCATTATAACTTTTAATATAAATCAATTTTATATTTAATTAAATATTGTTAATTTTACCTTGATCAGATAAACTTTGAATACAATCATTTCTAAAATGTTTAAGGAAGTACACATTTCCATAGGTTTAAGTATAAAGAGCCATTTACACTAAGAAGTAATTTTAACTTGATAATATTTTGTTATGGGCTGAACATAATATTTGTAATAACAAAATTTCCTTACCCTCAATTGTTCCAAACATATTTGATTGAATAAACTTTAACTTTTATTGGAGAAATGAAAAAACAATCAATTATAGCATTGTTATTGACTATATCAAAGCGTTTTTTCTGTGTATTTGAACATCTTTTTCAACCAATTTGTTGGAGTTTAAAATATTTCAAAATAATTATTTTCCTAACAAGTGCGCAAAGTTATATTTTTCCGCACGCTACTGCAATTGCATGAACGATGCAAAGCGAAGTTTGGGAAAGCACTAAGTGCGAAAAAATACTTTGCGCGTGTTTAAAGAACAATATTTTTATACATGCAAGGGAATCTCGCAAATTTTGTTTTACCAGTTTCCATTTTTAACTTTAACATTTTTTCTTCAAGCGTGCGGAAAGCTACTACTTATATTTTTATATTGAATTATGTTAGCAATATTTTTTGTTTTAATTAAAAATACTTTTAATGGCTTTATGAATTAATAAGCTTATTTCTGTATTAACGCATTTGCGTACGAAAAAGTACAACTTTGCGCACGAAAATGATTTCGGATAAGTATTAATTTCCGCATGCGAGTAGTTATTTGTTTTACAAGTGTTTAAAAGAGACTTTTTAATGCGAGTGTTTAAGTTGCTTACGAGGCCGTCAGGCCGTGTGTGCATTAACACTAGCTTGAAGAAAGCTTTTCTCTCAAGTGAAACACAATGTTTTTTCTACGACCATTTTATTTTTTATTATTTTAAATACGAAACAAAATAACCTAAAAACGTGTTTGACAGCTGTAAAAATTACTTTCATCTTATACTTTTAATTTTTAAGGTTTAAGTTACTTAAAGTCAATAAACTTATCTTATCGATTTAAATAAAGGCACTATAAATTAGAATTTATTATTACAAATACATACAAATTTTAAAACGAATGTCAAACGATCCTGTCAATTTTTTTTCACACAGACCTGTCACTTTTCACACATAAATGTCACTTTATATTCGTGTTTTGCCTTGCCGTAGAAAAAAGGTTTTTCTACTAGGGTGCTCAAAGTAACACTATAGATTTTTCGCGAAATTGAAATAAACATTTTGGAAGAAGAGCTACCATATGACATCCTGGAAGCAGCAAATACTGTAAATGAGAATTTATTACCAGCGAAATCCTGTCAAAAATATACAAGGTATCCCTAACCTAAATCAAAATAAGACGAAAATCTAAATAAATATTTTTCCTAATTAGAGATACAGGGTGATAAAGTGTTACTTATCATATCAGTTTTTTT